TAATAGTCTAGAAGAGAAGCCAGTTTCTTTCTTTCTTCTTTTTTTTATCTGTTTTTATTTCTACATGGCCCCTAGCTATGCCCTGGGCAGCCTTGCCGCCCAGCAGTTTTCTCTTCATTTCAATGTCCTAAAGAAAATGCAAATTTCTACAGTGTGGCCTTTTTAAAAAGTTAAATTAGCAACAGCTTTAAGTGACTCCATTAGTATGGAAAACATACGCATGTTTAATGTGGGAATAGCTTCCTTTTAACGGGACTCATTCTGGTGTGTACATTTAGCAAACCCTTAGAGTTGGTAAAGAATCTCTTCGTGGCCGAATTTGTAGCCAGAGGTGCACCCTCCCCCTTCCAGCCCCGGAGTGCGCCAGCGTTCCTGGGGGGAGAGGAGGGGTGCGTCCCGCCGCCGCGCGCTGCCGGACCTAGTCCGCTGACTTGGATCCCTTAGAAGCCGCGCGAATGTGCGCGAAAGGGTTTGTGCAGGCTGGAAGGGAGGAGAGCTTGACACATTTCTGTCCAAGAGCGGTATGCTCTTCCTTCCCTCCCGGTCTCAACGTCACAGTCCCCGGAGCTGAGTTAATTACCCGGGTGGACTACCTGGCCCGGCCGCCGGCACCCACCGCCCCACTTTTGCGCACCAAAACGGGTGTATACACTCTGTTAAGGTGCTGTGAAGGAGTGAGATCGGGTAGCCGAGGAGGAGGACATTAGTACATCGGTGACCGTGGCCACCCTTTCCGACCGTGCCCACTGTGGCTCTCCACCACCCCAACTTCCTTTACTCGTGTTGGCAAACCGCGGTTGCAAACTAGAATTTTATTGGCAAACTTTTGTGCACAGTTAGCTTCCAGAAGAGGGTATTTAATTCTGTCATGAGGTCTGGCCGCCCCCTCCTTTCCCTTCAAGCCAGTGGCATGGCACTCCACACCCGTCCATGAAAGAGTTAAGATTTATGGTATGCTGGAGAGGTCTTGTTAGGATGTAATCTGCATTTTTTAACTACTGCGTAATAAAAAGTGAGAAGTTTTGAGACACCTTTCTTGATTATACCTTTGGCGATACTTTAGGTTTTACATTTAATTTGCATTTTGTTCTTGGTGAATATTGAAGTCTTGAGTGGAGGATTGAATTTTATTAGGACATCTGGACTGACAATATCAAATCAGACACCAGTGTCCCAAAGCATGCTAAAATTTCAGAGTTAATTAGAACGCAGTGTGTTTAATTAAAGCCAATTATAATATTTGAAATTATCTGATCGATCCGTGTTTGTACAGTTTGGGTCTGTTTAGGTGTTGATTGGCGTACTTTGCGCGCCATTCGATCTCGGAACTTCTCTGGGGAAAGTTTGCTTTGTAAACTGGCGGGGGCGGGCCGGCGCGGAATCGGCGTCTCCCCAGCCGGCTCGGGCGCATCCAGCCGGACTGCTTTTCCGGGCGCCGCTGAACGCAGCTCGAGAAATCCCAGCTCGTTGCTAAACCGATGGGCCTTTTCGGGTCCGAGGGACCTCGCCACGCACCAGCTGTCTTTTGCAGCTCGGTTGGTCCTCCGGAGCATCTTTACAGAGAAGCAACCTTTAGGGTTGCCGGGTGCGTTGGGAGAAGCCCAAGCTGGCCAGTGTTTGATTTGGGGTTTTCGCTCAGGTAGAAGAGCCCCCAGAGCTGACTCGTGGGGTCAACCAAAGTGACCGAAGGAATCCGAGAAAAGTTAGGACAAGGAAACAATAATTAACTGTTTCCCTTCTAATTTCGCACGCTGCAGGAGCCGAGGCACACCCCGGCGTTTTCGCCCCGCTTGCAGCGCCCATAGTTTTCCAGCGAGAGGTCTGAGCGAGTTCCAGGTCATGTCCGTCGCCCCCTGCGGGGCGGGCACTTAGAGCGGAGGTTTCTCTCCAGCAAGGGCGTTCGCGTGGCGCTTGGTATCTAGGCCTTCTGCCCGGTGCCGGGCTTGGTCCGACCCTTGCTCACGCAGGTGGGCGGCAATTAGGACTAGGCGGCGTGTGGCGGTTTCCGCGCGTCTCCGGGGTCAGGGCGTCAGCTCGGACTAGGTGCTCTGGTCGCGCAGGAGCCAGGGCCCAGCTGCTGGGGCCGGCAGGACCCCTGGCGGACACCTGCCCCGGGGTGGGTAGGAGCCCAGGTTGCTCGGCTCCCGGCTCCCGGCTGCGCAGCGGCACTCCACTCTCCCCACCCCAGGAGGCGCTGTTTGTCAAACTTGGCTGGAGGCGCCTGCACGTTCTCACTTGGAAGCTGAGCTTTCTCCGGTACTGGGGGTCGGGCTTCAGGAATCTTAGCCGTACAGAATAAATATTAGGGGGAGGAGGCAGTGCAGAGAACAGGGGTCTGGGGCCCTTCAGTTTTTGCTTTTTACCCGTGAACCCAACAGGGCATCTTTCCTTCCAGCGCAGGGCAGAGGCGCCCGTTGGTTCG